AACGCGAAGGAACCGTATTTCTCCAAATTACCCAAATACTTCTAGAACATCTTCAACACCAAATTATCTCCAGATTGATCCGACTTCCTTAATAATAAGGAACAACGTCATCTTCAACAAACAATTTACCTGAAAGCGGCTAGAACTCTTCAACACAGATGAGCATAGTCGTCTTTAACACCGTATTATCTTTAGATTGAATCGCTTTCCTCAACCAGAAGGAACAACATCATCTTCAACAAACAAATTTATCTGAAAGCGGTCAGATCTCTTCAACATGGATGAGTAGTGTCGTCTTCAACACCAAATTATATCCAGATTGACCCGAAGTCCTTGACATGAAGCAACAATGTCATCTTTAAATCCTCTATTTTCAGACAAAGAATTGGAGCTCCAGATGCGAAGCGGACATCATAGCTAGACAAAATTAGGCAATTATTCGTCTTTGCTTCGTCATTGTTTACAAAATAGGCGAGCAAAGAGGGGTAGATGTAATACCCTAATTTTATCTAGAGACCAAATTTGCAATTGTACCATTTGCAACTTTGAGGGGCATAAAATCCAAGAAAAAAACAAATAAACCCTCGTCCCCCTTTGTAAGTTTAGAAACAACAAATAAAAAAAGGCTACCCCGATTTTGTATGTTAAAAAAACCAAATACTCAATCATCATATATCTATTCCAACCTCTCTTCTTGTTTTCTCTTGCTATTTTTGTCTTTCACTATAACCATGTTATTGAGAAACAATATAACATTTTTTTTCTTCATTTTTATCTGTTTTCTCATCTGGGTTTTAACACTTTCCATTTCCAGATCATAGCTTTCTTAAAGTTTGACACTTTCATTCATTTTACATGTATTTAACTTTCTCAACTTAAAAGTGAAAAAAAAAGAATAAATTTTAGGTGAGATTGCTTCGTTTTGAACATATTCAAAGGGATGGGTTTCTTGGTTAATATTCATATTAACTTTGGTCCATTTAAGTATGAGTTTGGTCGCTTGGGGCTCGGTTAAGCTCCGACGGCGACAGGTGACAATTGTTTTTTTGGGGTTTTAGATCGAGCCAAAAAAGAGAAAAAAAAGGAGGTTATAGTCGTTTCTTTTATTCTAATCATTGCTGATTTATTTATTTATTTATTGTTTCTCATATTTGATTCGACCTTATGGTGACACGATCCGGGATACGATCCACATTATTATGGTCTAGACTCTTCTAACCGCTAACTTTTCTAACTTACTAACTTTTATTTTTATTGTTTTTACTAACTTACTAACATTTTATTTTATTGCACAAACTAACCCGCTAATTTTCTAACATTCGAATATTTAACGACCTTACGGTGACTTGCCCTGGGGTACAACCTGCTTTATTTATGGCCTGGGTTAAACGATTAAAAACAACCCCTAACTTTTAAATTTATGCAATTTATTTTTTTATTTTTTCCAGCACTTTAAATTTCAATATTTTTATTTTTCTGCACTTTAATTTCCATGCATTTTATTTCAATCCTTTTAAGTTCCATCATTTAATTTTTTGTATTTTCATTTAAGCATTTTAACTTGCACCTCATTTTATTTTAGTCACTAATATTGCATGTTGTATATTTATTCCTAATGCCTATACTTTTCATTGTTTACGTTTCAACCTTATTTATTTATCCTCTTATTTGACTGGTATTTTAATCTTGGTTGTTGGTTTATAGAGTTTGCATGTTGGTACTTTGTTTACGATAGTAGGCTACCGATGTTTGACTCGTATTTTAGATTCGAAATCGAACTTGGTCATCTTTATTATTGTTACCCTTTTATGCACATATTTCATATCTATATTATTATTCAAACTTTATTTTTTTCTATAAATCATCATTTTTATATATAGAAAATATAAATTTTGTTGTGAGGGAGATCTATGAAGACGTCTCTCCAACTACAAGGGAAAGTGTCTTTCTAAGATTTTTCGCACAAAAAATTATTTTTTGTATTCGATAGTCTTCTTTTTTGTTTTATTTTTATCTTATTATTTTATTTTATTTTATCTCGTTCTATTTTTATTATATTTTTATTTTTATCTTTGATATAAATAAAATGTAAGGCAATGTCTTTCTGTGAGGCGAATCTATGGAAAAGTCTCATAACTATAAAGGAAGTGCATTCCCGAGAATTGTTCACACAAAAAGCATTCTTTATCTAAGCGTTTCTAAAAAATTAATATAATACTATACTCTTTTAAATTATATTATCCATAAAATTGAAGAAACATCATTTTGTGAGGGAAATTCATGAAAAAGTCTCCTAACTGTAAAGGAATTGCATTTTCAAGGATTATTTGTACAAAATGATGTGATTTTACTCATGACAATATTTGTAGTCTTTCGAGTTGAATAATAAGTTGAACTCTATAAAATATATTTGTTCTCTTTAATTTTTTATAGCCATTACATTTATTATTTGTCATCATATTCTTATTTGGAAGAGCAACGTTGTTTTTAGTTTTTTTTTAAATTGACATTTTTTAAATAAATTCAAACGAATAGAAGAATCATAATTTAAATATATATTCGAGTTTGTAATTTCCCAACATTTAGGCATCATATAATTGTTTAGGTAGCAAACTTGGGCTTTGTGGGGGTGCTCACCCTTCCTCACACGTAATCGATTCCCGAACTCTTAAAAATGAATTTTTGGTAAAACGCAGACAATTTTTTTGTGTTTTAATGATTTTTCTGAACTCATTAAAATGATATTTTAGGTATTCAACCTACCTAACTTAAAGGTTGATGGCGACTCCAAAATAAAATTGCTTCAAACCTAAATTTCATCGTCTTTCTCCGAATTAATTTTTTAAGTCTAAAAAATCCTCGAGGTAGACGTTATGACACATATTATTAAAAACTAAAAAAAGGAAAATAACTATATAATATAAAAATAATCGACAAATGTGAAGCATTAACGATCGACAACCAACACTAAAATTGACAGCGTGTCTAGCCAAGCAAAATTAACAGAAAGTAGAAAAGGGAGAGCAGCGCAACGTTAAAAAGACCTTTCGATAAAAAAAAAGACCTTAGGAAAAACCCTTGTGTATTAGAATTTTGCTCAATTTCATATAATTTCACTTCTCTAAACTTATTGATAAAAACATATTCGAATTTTTTTGATAAAAAATACAAATACCCAACACGTTATCGTCCCTAACTTTTAAATTTTAAACATTAACAAGTGAGAAAAACATGCATGCATGGTTCCATCAGGGATTCAAATAACTGTCTAGCGGTAATAACGGACTGCTATTCCGCTATTTTTTCATTATTTGAATTTAAAAAAAGTTTTTTATTAAAAAAATCAACACATATAGAAAAAAATTCACGACCGTAATACTCACAATGACCGCAATAACATCTATTATATCTGTAATCGTGATAAGCACAACTGAAAATGCGGCAGTAACCACAATTTAAAGATCCCTGGGTTCCATTAAGACAAAAGCATAGCCGGGGAAGTGGTCCTCGTCTTAAACTCTTAACTAACGATACTGCCACTTATCCTTTGAATCCAATTGCGTATGGTTAGGGCATTGCTTCCTCCACATGCATTTCTTACAACATTATCGAACTAACCTACTATGTTACGTACCACAAATTCGTGTTTGGTTGTTGAGAAACATGCTCCGCTCATACTCACTGGCAAATTATGTACTTATATAGTTTCTCTCTTTTATAAGTTTTCTTTTCTTCTCTTTCCATTATTATTTGGAGCCTAATCTTTATTTCTTAATTACATTGTTATTTGTTTCCGTCGTAAAATCGAATCGAATAAAAAATTATCGGAATTTAGAATATTTTACCGTCCTAAAATGAATTGTGATGAATCTCTTGATCTTCATGTCAAATCCCATTTTGAACACATCTTGAGGATGGCATGTGCTGGTCTTAATAAACTTTTTCCCACCATTCTCAAGTGAGAAAATTGAATATTCTTTTCTGGGTTTTCTCCATTCTTTTTTTCTTTTCTCTTCTTTTGGTATGGGAGTACTCGATGGAATGGCAATGAAGTCAACTTTAGTGGCCAGTCTCTTGTTGTCCCATTTCATCAACCCAAAGGAATCCATTGTTGCTCACTTAACTTTTTGAACTTTTTTTTTATTTCATTTTTCCTCTGCTGCAAAAGTTAGTGTGGATTTTTCTTGATATCATGTCTGATCCTGCTGTATTTGACCTCTGAGATTCCTTAATAGACCCTACTTGTCTGCAAACAGTCTACGAAATTTAGGTCGTGGTAATAAGTTCGATATCTCTTTGATACTAATATAATTCTATGTTGTTTGTCCTATCACAACAAATCAAGAAATGATAAGGGAAAATCCTTGAGATTCCACCTGTTTGATGATGATGAATTGGTGCAGCACAAGTACAAGGTCAAGACAGACAGTTTATGCAACTCCAAGTGTTGGCTTTGGCATGTTGTCAAAGCATCGGCTGTCCCTTTTGTCGAACTGTTTTCAAAGGTCCATGTTCAATGTGATGGCCAGGGAATATGTCCAAGAAAATAGAAGCATCGATGATGTGACGACGGTCGGTTAGAAGCGATGCAAACGGTCTATGTTCGTTAGAGAAACGAGCAATGTTACGATAAATGTGAACCCGGAGTTTAATTCGGTTTATGTGAGTGCCGAGTCATAGAATAGATTTGAAGCTCGAATTTGAACGCATGTGAAGAGATGATGAAGGTTTTTTAGTTTGTGGCTCTAAAGGGGAATAGTTTGTGTTGGGATGTTGAGGCCATGTGCTTCAGCTAGTTTTAATTTTTAAAAATAAAGCAAAGAGTTTTCACTTTCCCTTGTATAGTGGGAGAAGATTGGTGTTGGCTTTTCCCTTTCGACTTTAACCCGACTTAACTTTAATATAACCGAGACTCGTGTAGCTATCGAATACGAAGATGTTTCTTAACAAAGAAAGAAATAGTTACTCAAATAAAATAAATGAGAAAATGAGATTGCAAGTTACAACACGAAGCCATTAACAATGGCTTCATTACTTTTCAACCTCGTAGTTTCAAACACCGGTAGTTCCTCTCTGTACCTTCCGATTCTGATGAGATGATCCAACTCGAAAAGATCCGAACTCGAATAACTCAGTGCATCGTCTTCTTCATCTTCGTCGTCATACTCTTCGATAAACCCTCTCAAATCCATTTTCCTAATGCCCCTTCTTTGATAGCTCGTCACATAATCAATTGCTTTACTGCTAACTGCCGATTCTTTTTTCTTCAGCTCCTCAGTTCTTGAAGAAACTTTAAGATTCTTTTGAACAGTTGAGGACATTAATCTGGGATCTTCTTCATAAATGCATTTATGGCCACAAGGTCTGCAATCTTCATCGAAAATGACATTAACTGGGCAAAATTTAACTGACCTTTTAATACCCTTAAGTCCATTACTGTACTTGTTATTATTACCACTTGAAGAAGGTGTTTCGCTCAAACAAGGCCTGGAGAATGAAGAGGGTGATGAAGCTGTCGATTTCGATTTTCGATGAAATTCGACATCGCCAGAAACACAATTAGAGCACATCTTCACTTTCTTGGCATTGGCATTGAAGATGGAGTTTAAGAAGCTGGTGATACGACCGCCGGGGGAAATCGGTTGCTTAACTTTCTTCAATTCACCATAGATTTTCAATGCTTTCAGCTTGGTCTTTGTGAGCCCTCCGCCAATTTCTCCCTTGGCCTTTTCTCGCTCCTCGTCGTCGTCGGGCCGCCTGCATTTATAGTACTTAACCGGCTTCGATCTTCTCGATTTCTCTCTATAACCCGACTCGGCTTCGGACGAGGACGAGAAGACTCCACCGTTGCTTGAATCCGATGAGCTCGAAGTCGAGTTGAAATGAACTGCCGATCGATGATCGATAGCACGTTTAAGACTCGAAGCCTTCCGACCACCTTCCATGGGAGCACCGGTGCTCTGTTTCTTAACAGGGTTTGCACTCGTTTTCTCCCCGTGATGGCACAATGTCGGCTCGTTTCCGTCGATGGATCGATAAATGGCATCAAGAAGGATTGAAGAGAAAGAAGGGGTTCTTCTTCTATGAGGAACTTTAGTATTATCCACCATGGAACTCTGTCTTCTATGCATGGTGTGTTCTTTCTTCTGCATACAACAGGACTAAAGGAGGAGAATTAAAGAAGAGGGACAGGAAATGGCTAATTTAAAGCTTTGATGTCTACTTAGAGAGTGCCAAAAGCTGCAAAGACACAGATCAAGTAGAAACATGCAAGCAGATCATGTGAAACACACACAGAAAGGGAATACAAATGATAGAATATTCATCAATATGAACTGGACTGTTTAGTTTAGTTTAGAGCCGGTATATATAATATTTTTATGTATAATTTTTTGTTTTCCATTTGTGTACGGAACTGAATAGTGAGCAAGGCATCAACAACTGGATTTTTATCTATAAACTATTTTAATATTGATCCCTCCCATATGGGTTTTCTCGAGTTAGGGAGGTCTCATATTTGCTGACTTTGTGTGTAGAGAAAAAATTCAGACCTGACACATTTTGATTTGGTCTAATTTTATAGAATTATTTTTAAATTTTAGATTTAAATCTAATTGAGTTTTCCCCCCTTACAGTTAGGTAAAACGCCTAATCTACTTCTTCCTTTCTGGTATCCATAGCCACCGCTCGAGGAGGCTCTTGGAAGACATGCAATCCCCGGGTCAGATTCCAAGCGTCCGTCTGCAACCTTATTCCCATTTCGGTTCACTTTCTTTATCTCTACCTGCTAATCTCTGTTTAGGTCATCTTCGATGCGGTGAATGATGGTAAGATTCCTATCCTTTCTTCCTTTTGTGTTTAGAATTTGAATCGCAATTTGGCCATCCGTTTCTACTTGAACCTTTCTGATCCCCCAATTCCATTGGATAAGGTTGAATTTAATTCGATTGAAAAATCTTTGGTCTAACCCGATACAAGATAATAATATAATTTTCTTAAAGATAATTGTAATAATATCTCTCTTTTTTTTATTTTTTTAATGTCTATATCTTATCTAATAAAAATAGATTTTTATATGTATTTGTGATGCGTTTAGGTCAGTCGCTATTTTTTTTATTTTAAATTGAGTCAATTTTCAGGTCATATGAAATTTTATTAAATTTAAATCGAGTTTGGTGAGAAGATAGGATACTTGGAACGAGTGTTAGGTTGAGAGATATAATACACAGATAAGGTTCATATCGATCGAAAATCCAATATGACTTAACTTATACTCATATTTAAAAGAATCATTTATCTAAACTAGCATTTAACATCAAAAGTGATAATTATATCAACAAAAGGATCAGAAGTGAAAGATACTCTAGTTTGAAGATTCAAATGCATTTTAAATTTAAGGGCTAAATTATAATTAAAGTCATAAATTAAAGATGTTTGGAGTAATTAATCCAAAAGGGGGTAAAATTAAAGATAAAGAGAGAATAGTATACTTTGTAGTTGTTGTAACCGAGGAAAAGAATGGGAGAGTGTCGCGCGTGCGGGTGGGCTGTTGCAGGTTTGATTGCTGGGTAACTTTTATCATTTGTTTTTACCACTTTTGCGAAGTTTTCGAACTTGTAAGGATTAAAGGTGAACTTTTATCATTTGTTTTTATCAGTTTCATGATTTTTCGAACTCGTAAGGACGCTGTGTTTGGTTAGGGAAATGTGAGATTCCCATGGGAATAAAATTCATATTTCTCTGTTTGGTTGGCTGGGAATATCATTCCCGGTAATATTACATTATCAATAGTGGATTTTTTAGATTATATTATTGGGAATGTCATTATCTCCCTTTCCTTAGGTATTATTAGATTACCGGCGTTTTGGACTAAAATACCTTAATTTTTTTTTTCAAAAATATCTTTATTCTGTTATTGAATAATAAAAAATTTACGAATGTTAAATTACAAATTTATCCTTATACTATTTTAGGTTTACAAAAAAATATATAATTAAAATTTTATATGAAGGTCACGAGTTAAAATAAAATTTTACCCTTTTATTAAATTTTTTTATATTTTTTATTTTGTAAAAAAATTATATAAATTTTATGAATTTAAATTTTTAAAAAAATATATATAAATATTTTTCAACTTATTAAAAAAACTATGAGAGCATACCACTTGAGGTCCTCAAGAATACCGTAGTATCGTTGGATGGAGCTCTTCTTTATCTGAATCATACTCGTCTGGACATCGCCTACAGTGTCAACAAGGTTGCTCAGTACATGCAAAAACCTTGTGAGGAACATTGGTTAGTTGTTAAGCGTATACTGAGATGCTTAAATGGTACTATAAATCATGGGTTGTTGTTTCCAAGCGTCAAAAGAGCCACTTACTCTTGAGACTTTTGCTGATGGTGACTGGGCAACTAGCATTGAAGATAGACGTTCAATCACTGATTACTGTGTGTTCTTAGGGTCGAATATTGTTTCAGGGTGTTCAAGAAAGCAGAAATCCGTTTCCAGGTCTACAACGGAGGCTGAATATCAGAGTGTTGCAGACGCTGCCTCGGAAGTTACTTGGTTGACAACTCTTCTTCATGATCTTGCAGCTCAATGTCAAATTAAACCCTCCATTTGGTGCGACAACACTAGTGCTGTTTCTATCGGCGCTAATCCGGTGTTTCATGGTAAGTCAAAACACGTGGAACTCGATGTCCACTTTGTGCGTGAGAAAGTGGCCAATGGGACTGTTCAAGTGAACCACGTTCCAGCTGCAAACAAACATCTGATGGTTTTACTAATCCCCTTACTAAAGCTCAGTTTGCTAATTTTCGACAGAGAATAGCTGCTGCAGAAGAAGTTGGAGAGGGAAGAAATCGGGAGAATGTTGGACTACGAAGAAAGGCCCAATGATCTGCTAAGAGCGGTAACGTGCACGGAGTAATTAGTGAGGTGTCATCACAAGAATCTTTAGAGCTATGAGCTGGCATTAATTTTGTTACACGGGTTTTCATGTGAAAATGGTGCAATACCTGCTATATAATGGTGTAATCCTCTCATGCTTTTTGAATTAATAAAAATGCTGATCATTTCATGATTTCTTGCTCTTTGTTTTTCTAGAATCCAACAATGTCGAGTATCTGAATCCGCTAAAAGTTTGATAGTTAAGATTTGAATTCCCTTAAAAATAAGCATACTCCCCATCGTAATATTAAGTCAGATTCAGATATCATAATCCATGTAAGTCAGCGGCGTGGCTGAGGGGAGCAAAGTGCGCGATCGCGCAGGGCTCCCAAAAAATAAGGATTTTGAAATCGAATATATTTATCAGTTGTTGTCATTAATAAGTATAAAATTAAGGACCCCGAAATCGAATATATCTATCAGTTGTTGCCATTAAGAAATATAAAAATAGGGACTCCGAAATCGAATATATTTAAAAAATAGAGACCCCTTTATAAGAATTTGCACAGCACCCCGACAACCTAGCCACGCCCTAATGTAAGTAATACGAGTAGAGATATTCAAGAGTCTCTATCCCTATTCACTTATAATATGTAACTAATACTAGTTTTAATGTCTAACGCATATTAGTTTTAATGTGTAACGCATATCGGAATTCGTAATCCAGATTGCCATCCCTACTCATTGGCTTGATCCCTCAACTTTAGTTTAAAATAAATTGATAATGTACCTTTATAATGTTATCGGTTGTAGACTCGAGAGCAAGGCAGAAATTGTATTTAGTGGTTAAAATTGAAATACCATTTTTTTGGGGTTCGGAGTGTAATTTTACCATTGCATTGAATTAAAACTTCATAATTTGTAAATGACTAAACAAGAACAATACCACTTTTGGGGTGACTAAGGCCCCTACCACTACCAGTCTCGTATCTGGCTGTCGTCACTAAAGTGACCAATCAATTAAACATAAATACAATTGTGTGACCAAATAATAATAAAAATGTACGTCAATACTTTAACGAAAACATGCTACAGTAAAGATTTTAGTCTAATAAGGGACTAAAACCATAATTAGAACATTTTGGTTCAACACGAAGTGTATGCTTGGGTCTAAATAACACCCTGCAGGCCCAAACCACTGGAACATGGTCGAGTCCACCCCAAGGAGTGAGTGAAAAAAACTCGACTCGACTAAAAAAACTCATTTTGAATTGACTTCGAGTTATAATTTCATAAACTCGACTCGAAAAAATTTCAAGTTCAAATCAAGAGTTGAAATGCAGCTCAAATAACTCGAAATTTTTAGTAATTAATGAATTTATTTTTAAGTTGGAGTCAAGTTCTTAGACTTCGTATGATACATGTATATCACATATGAAAAAAACATGAAGATATATATTTGTATTATACATATGGTTATAGAAAGTCATTTAAATTGGAATCAAATAATATTATAATGTTATAAATATTTACAATTAAATTAAAATAGAAATTAGAAAAATCGACTCGACTCAAAAAAATTTCAAGTCAACTCCAAGTTGTAAAACATGACTCGTCAACTCAAATAACTCAAATATTTTGAGTCGACTCGATCAAATGCTCACCCCTATTCATCCCTATAGGTCAAGTCGAGTTCAATTTTTGATGGACCTAAATTTGACCCAAGTATTATATTCTTCCACCCGTAATTCGTCTGAGTAGAGAGATGTATATTCTTATAATTACTTTTAAATATACAAGGAATAATTATAATATTTGATGCTCTTTACCCACCAACATTTCTTGTTTCCCAAGAAACTAGTAATTTAAAATCCCATCATCATGTTTCTTATAGCTACTAGGAAGCTGGAAAAAAAGAACACTTGGCAAAAGGTGGCAGTACGTAGAAACACCTGCTTAGATCTTTGTAGAAGGGATTCTACAAGTATGGAAGAAGAGAATGACAAAAAATAAACACCCCCGTGATTTAGAAATGCACCAGCAAGCCGCTAACCTCCTTCGTTTCGCTCAATTACAAGTACTGTCCGTGTATCCTGGCTCGGTTCTCTTCCCAGCGCAGTCTGGCATGCATCTCTCCAAATCTTTCCCGGCTGCACAATATACAGTGATGGGATCACATTTCATCAAAGAACAGTTCATGCTGGATTTGTCTAAACATGGGAGTAAAATGAGTTGGTAAAAGGCAGGATAAGTGACAATAATTATGCTGTCAAACGAAGGTTTTTACATCTTATAATTCTGTTTCTGAGGGTTGGTGGTTCAAATCATACTTGTCTACAGAAATGACTTGTGTTGGACCCATCAACCTAATAATGAAATCAAGTCCACGGAAGAAATGGCTTTTGGCGGATCTCCAATGCTTCTTCAATG